CCTGGAAGAAACATAAACATCAGACGGTTTTCTCCTAGAATTTTCGGCTTTCTGATTTGGCTGGGACGGGTATCTAGGAGAATCGTACCGGTGTGTTTCTATTGGACGCGATTAGGACAGCCGCCTGCGAAATAAATTCTACAACTACTTCTCTAAGTTTTTTGCACCGTTGAACTAAAAGACACGTCGTCCATTAAGAAAAATTCCGGCTTCTGTGAAAACACACTGAAGATGATCAGAAGCTGCTTTTCCCGAAAGGGTCCGGTGAAATGTGTATAAAAGCGCAACGACGGTTCTGCTGGTACTGGTCATGTTTAAGGTTCACTTATAATGGTAGTTTTCATGCTTGTGCACTCTCATAAAGTCACTTCACCATCTCTGTGATATCTTTATCAACATTTGGCAGGTATAAAAATGAAATATTTAAGTAACTGAACTACCCTTTACAGAAAATATGTTAGCACTTTTAACATTTTGATCTTGCCTGTAAATTGGCATGCCTCTTTTAACTTGGTGTTATTCGAGAAGAAATTGTTAATGTTGTTATTGCATAAGCGTGGGCTACTGACTTCATGCAACCCATTTAGTGGTTATTTCCATTTATTTTTGACTCCAGTATATCGACCTATTCACGGTGTATACTAGCAAAATAACTCTCGTAGTATTATTATGAATTTACGCAAAAATAATTAACAATCCAGAACACCAGTTTTCGGGGTTTGCGTGTATAGTTAACGAACAATGTATCCACAAGACACAACAGAGTCAAGCACATTAGAGAGTGAGTGAGCAAACTGATGGACATTAAGTAAACAGCATGTTTGATGTGTTCAATGAATTTTAATCAGTACATGTATAAAGTAGTTGATCGTTTATGTTCAGTGATACTGATGTTAATTTTCCATGCCAACAAAATTTCTGACCCATGTTTATGACCTGGGACTGGTTTCGCTTCCTAACAATAAGACCTGTTACAAGCAGGACAAGGAAGTTACATTAAAAAGGTCTTCACTCATGAATTTATAAAAGCAATAAGAATAAAGAATTGAAAAATAAATGAAATGTCATATGTGTATCAGATTATTGTATCTTCCTTGCTAAATTCTATAGATCTGCACAATCTTCTTTTGAATCACCTCTATTTGTTGCCGTACTAGTGACTTTAGTGTTCAATCCATACTAATGCTATTGGGTAACGAGTGATCTGAGAAGAAGAAGTTCAAGTAATCAGACCGTAGTATTTTAATTAAAAACGCATCCTTTGAGTCATTACCTGATTCCAACCATGATTATTTCCTGTTCTGCTTATTAACCTCTTCAGTTTCCCACATAATTTCAGCATTGCAGTGATAAACCGCCGAACTCGCAAACATGGAACAAATCAATTCGTCCTACACTATAATAAATACCCCAGATATTACCGGAAACCTACTGTCGTTTTTACCAGAAACTTGATAAATCTGCAATCTAGGTAATGCCATCTCGGAAAAGAATAAGCATTTATCTCATTTTTGTCACATACTGTTACGGGTTAATTGTCACACATCAATCGTACATGGCATCACGACCGAAATAGCATTATGTTGTATATTCTAATGTTCTAAACGCTATTTATTACCTCATGTAGAAAAAATCGTATCTTCTATGGTGGTGATCAATATGTTTTGTAAAATATCAATCTAAACGAGAAACTTCATACAGTAAATGTGATAGCATTTGTAATAATTTGATCTCGCTTGTAAACTGGAATGTCTCATGGAACACAGCGTCATTTGAGAATGAATATTATTACTGTTTATGAAATGTCGTATCTAGATAGAATTTCTGGAGATTTTTTTACTCATCATTGAACCTTGTGATTTTTGTTAACGATCAAACGTATACCGAAATACGACTAACATATTTTTAAGCCACGAGTCCTTCTGTGCTTTACTTACGACGCAAGTGTTATGTGATTGAGTAATTTATAAAGGCACCATTTTTTCTGGATCTTAACAACACTGAAAAAACCTCTGGAACCCTTCTTAGTAACTAGTTTCCGAAGCAAGTTACAAAAGGACAAGCTGAAGTTTTAACTACAAGAGAGAGCTGTACAACCCTTTCTAATCGACAATACTCGAAATCGAATCAATCCAGAAGTCAAGATTCAGGAGGGTCGGAGGTATATTTGAATGGTGGTTGATATATTGATTAGTAACTCGACTACATTTGCTAGTTGATCAGAGGAGTGCGTCTTACCGTGTACCCAAAGATGATCTAGTATGAATGCGTGACAGAGAGCCTTCGGCTTGGGAGTATCTAGTAGAACTAATGAGGCCAGATAAGGGTCGAAGAGCTACACAACTACTTATTTTGAGGATCTATTTACAGCAACAATGGAAACGACAATTTAAGTTCTTTGCAGAACGGAACTCCTAGAAACCATGAAAAGCAAAAGGATACCAAATCGAACTACTGCCATTCAATACGGAAACAGAAATTGTGAGTAGAAATACAGACTAGAGTGTTCCGCATTGTGTGAGTAACTTCATTCAGCAGCATAATCAATCAGACTATGTAGGAAGAAGGTTGGCACGATGTAGAAGATTATATCAAAAAAAGAAAACTAAGTCAACGATGTGACATCAAAAAGACGTAGAAAAATAATCAAAACTTGTGAGACCTGAATATAGAGATGAAAAGAGTTCCAAAAACACTACACAAACTTTATCAAAATGATTTATCGGAGAGGTCAGTTATTTTCTAAAAGAGAGTCTTCTATGACGAAATAAAACGCTTCGTTTGAACGACACCTGAGCAATATTAAGTCACCTGATTAAAAAGCTACTTACGGAAGCAGTAAGAAGAGTAAGTATTTATAACTGTTTAAGCATAGGATATAAATGGATTCTGAACTTATGCAGGCAAACTGCCCCTCAAACTTTACTTTTGCTACCTCTGAGGAGCAAGAACAAATATTGAAAAAATTCACTCAAACCGGATGGATCAAGAATATTTGTCCGTGGTGATGTCAGTCTTGCGGACGGTACTAATTGACAACTCTAGAGGCGACAATAAGTAAACGCTATCTCAAAAACAACTTTCATTTAAGGGTTTCAAACTGTAAAATTAGGAGAGAAACCATCAAAATTTCTATGGATGACAGAGGCAGGACTTTTGAAGTATTAAGGGCATGCTTCATGAATCTTCCCAGCCTTTCAGACAGAACGGGGGAACTCAAACGTGGCATGCGCAGAAAGCAATGATATCACTGTCATTCTGGAGAAATGGTCAACTTCAGGAGAGTATGATAATGGAATTTAAAATGAAACGGAGGATGAAACTGAAAATTCCTCGTTCTTTACTTTACAGGGCCGAAAGACTAAACCATATAAATAATGGAGTCATCCTCTTCATGAAAAACACTTTAACCATCATTGGCACATTATACAGGGAGGTGTGAACTGATGAGCTGCCAGACGAAATAAACAGGGCAAGACATGGAACTAGTTGTAGCAATATGGTGTGTGTCGACCGCACAGTGGCTTAAGAATAGTAAACATCGGAGCATCGTCTGGAATTCGCTACCAGACGAAACAGTATATGGAGCTAGAAACGCATGGCATGATTACAGTATATTGAAGACCGGAGATGTGAGAGAAGATAGTCAATAACCTACTTGGATTGCTAGTGGATGTCTAAAGATCATGTGCACACCTTTTGTAAATAAACTGTGTCTTCTTCAAATAGACATATTTCGTCTGGTCTTGACTTCTTCGTGCATTACAGTAACAGATTGTTATTTCGAAATATATGGTGGGTGATTTCTCCTTAATAAACTAATATCGTGGTCGTGCCTTTAAATCTCCTCCTTAAAATGCAGAAACTTAGAGGTAGCATTTTTAAAAAGTGTTGAAAACCACACTCCCACGGGCTTTATTCCAGCACATCAGAGATCCCACCAGAATTAAGCCACCATTTATTTTTTGACTTAGTCTTCACGCATGAAGATGTCAGTCAAATTAAATTTCCTTCACCCAAAGCGAGCAATGATAATACGGTCATCTTATTCTAGGTTTTCTTCGATATGGTCTGTCCAACAGATAAGCTGATCAGTACTAACATATAGAATGTAGACATGAATGCGATCAGCTCTTCAGTCTCAAATGAGAAATGGAGCGTCTGCAGGAGTGACATGGATTCACTTCAGGCTGTTGTACCACCAGTAACTCAACCATCTACACTCTAGACAAAGAAAAATTACGATCATACCTGGAAAGACTTGGTGACTCGACGTTTACTGGGGCAAAAGAAAGACGTTGGAACATCGCTGTCAACTTTGGCACAGCAAATGACGGAGAACATTACAGGTTGATACGAAATAAGTGCATGGGTTCAACCTGGACATCTCAGTAAAAACATGATGAGTAGTTCTCTTCAATCTGTATCGAGACATCTAAAGAGACTGTCTTCGAACATCGATTCCAGAATAAGCATGAACCACTGGATTCCCAGCCTGATTACAAAAGTGAATGCATCTCAGATGATGTAGGAAGACCAAGAAAAAATAGAACAGTGGGTTATTTCAGAATGGTTTTCACTCAGCAGCTTCTTCTATGCATAAATAGAAGTAGTAGTAGTAGTAGTTCCAGAACTACGGAACAGCCTAAAAAGACAGAACTCTATTCTGTTCTATTATAGACTATGGAGTGAGTTGACTACAATGGAAATGGTTTTTGACCTGAGGTATCTCCTCTTTTTCTTCTTGATACATCAGGAAATATCAAAAGACAACAAGTGAATACAAAAGTTAGAGATGAATAAAATCGTAACAGAATACAGGTTTCCACAGAAGCACCAACCATAAAAACCTGTTCGTCGAATACGTGACATTGCACCTTCAAATGACTCTTTGAAAGAAGACTAATTACCAGAAAAGGATGAACAAAGGCTTTAAGGACTAATTTCCTCAACAAACATGAATATCAGGAATTGCTAATGGACACCAGACCCTCCAAGGTCGCAAATTAATGAAGCGGTGACTTTGAATGTACTTCACGTGAGTAAGCGTGAGGCCTTACCAGTTTTAACTTATGGATATCAGACTCACCTACGGCAAGGAAATGTAACATAAACATTAGCTAGTGGTTCCTAGGCTACTAGATACGAAAGCTCGTTAAGCGACTTCCTCTTCTCATCCGTCTACAAACATTTGGACCATTTAAGGATATGTGTAGTGGCACGAGAGTCTATAGAGTCATGTCTTAGTACTGTTTAAGGAATATTGTTAACAAACTTACCCAAATAAACCACTATATTGATCCATATGGAGTGCACAGATTATTTCGGTTGACCTGGGGAATTAACGGTGAACTTAGCATACGCTGTATTCATCCGTTAAGCTTTGAAGAACGTCTACTATTTTACCTGTTACCATTTTGGAAAATTATATTGTGTGGGATTAGACAGTGTGGTGTTATTTTAAGGAAAAGCAGACATTTAGGGGACGGTAAGTGTTAGTACTAGTCACTTGCAGTTTTCATGCATGAAGTATAGAAACGTCGCTTTATGTGATTTGGTGAAGTTCTTATTTTTCATACTCTGAAGAGCTGCTACAACTGCAGGTGGGGAGTAAGTTGTCTTCTAACTGAAATCCAGTAATTCTTTAGAAACTCCTTCTGGACTTGTTCATTTGTAAATGATTCTCAACTTAGTTAAGTGGTTGGCACACTGCATAATATAGAGAATTTTCAAAACATTTATAGTGTGTTGTCAGTAAGGAAAAATCACAAGTCTCCTAATTGATATACATTATATCCATTGAAAGTTCTAGTCATCAACACAAAATTACCAAATAACCATTTTTCCTGTAACGATTAAAATTCTACAAAATTACAAACCCATTTAAGATAATCTTGAAAAGTTTAAATCATTCTGCCGTTCCTCTGTGTGTATGCTAAAAAGAGACTAGACAAAAGAGATAATATCAAAATAGAGTACATTAATGTGTAAAATACTACTTCTTCATTTCTGTATGATGAGTAACTCACTTAATATAGTTGAATCATTCACTTAAGTCATGGTTTTTGCGTGGAGAATCATGCACAAAATGATAGCTGGGTAGTCGTAGGCCACTTCTGGACGTCCATATTCTACTGGGTGTATGAGGGCTGATGTCACTTTCAGGCCGCTCACACTGTGGAAGGGTATTTCTTGAGGAACCTGAAAAATTAATTGAATTAGCGGTGTTCTTAGCGACCTGGGAACGTGACCACAGAGCTGAAGGGACAACTGTTTAATGCGGGTCACGCATGACTTCTTTACGAAACTTTTTTAAAGTGTTAGATGCACTCTTCAAATGGCCTTACCGCCAGAGATGGAAATCTGTAAGGAAGGTGAAGCGTAACATTTTAAAAGTTGGCTTTTCCTTACCCCTTCCTTCCGTTGTGAGAAGGTAGATTGGCTGCAAATGCTGGTTGTCCGAGGGGAACACGTTACTGCTGTCACACGCCTCTACAGTCAGACTTTGATTTGCTACCCTTAGTCTTACCGTTTTCCAGTCGACCTTCCTGGCATTGTAGGACCTAAAGAATTAGGTGTTCCAGCCAATATAGGTCTGTTGGGTAGTCACGGTAGGCAAGCCTGACTATCACGTCAAGGTAGCGGCTGTGGTCGAGCGAAACCAAGGGTTGATATCGTCGTATATTTATTGAATGTGAAGGCTTAAATCTTAAAATTACCTAAAGTAGTAATTAGAACTCATATCTTAACTCATCACCAGTCAGAATAGTGCAATTAAGTTTTTTTTAACTTTCAAATCCTGATAACTTTATGACTATATATTCTTGTATTAACTCACATTGTTAAGTTTAATATCATCTCCTTTCAGCTGAATCTTTCTTCTCAGTCATAATCAATGTAGAACGTGACGCTGGTGTACATTCAGTCAAGCAGTTGCAACTCAGAACTTCGTACGTATGTGCATAAGTTCATGTTGCCATACCACATTAGCACAGAGACGCAAATGTCAAATCAAATCCCATAATGATAGAGATAGTCGAGGTATTAATGGTAATTAAGAAGACTAGGGTCTGAAGATATTATTCAAGAAGTATAATTCAGTGAGATAAGGTTAGAAAGACAAAGGTAGAGGTGCTGACGAATCCAGAAGACTAGGATTTGAGAGAGCACAACGATTGAATGCACTTGCGCCATTGCAAACGATTCCGAGCCATGTCGTTCAAGGTATCTAACCATTGGTGACTTTCGTCTCGCGGACCCCAACCTAGTAGCCTACATGTATCAACATGACTCAGTCCACTTGTCAGTCACTTCATGGATTTCTGCCTTATTTTGGTCTGGGCGCCCTTAACTTTCTTCCAACCTACTCCTAAATCACAAAACATATCTCGTCTAGGCAGTCGGTGCTTAGGCTGGTGTACATTACACCAGTACATCAAGATAAGAAGCATGGGATAGGATATCGTATAAACTTCAATGAAAAGTTAAGCATAAGAGATATTTCTTGCATATTACTGCATGAATCTACAACTTAAACCAATGTATATTTATCTCAGGTTCCTCATCGTCAATATGCTTCTATTTGTATTTTAAAATTATCTTATTCTGCCTATATTCGATATTTTGTGAAAGTACTATTTATTTCTGTATGACATAAATCAAAATACTGTTTCTTTACTTACATTTAAATTTTGAATTTTTCCCAAAAATTCAGAAATTAAACAGAAGCCAAAAAAAAATCACAATCGTGTGTGTGTGTGCGTGTACGTGTGTGTGTACACATTCGAACTCTAAAGTGGATCGATCATGTTTGCTTCATTAAAAGTTGGTTAGATTTCTTTTCTGTAATTAAAAAAAATTTTCTTAGGGATTATCTGCAATTGTCACTGGTGGTGCATCAGGACTTGGGCTGGCTACAACGAAAAAGTTAGCTTTTTATATTCAAATTCAACTTTTTATTTTTTTTAAAAATTTTATCTCTTCATAGATTAATTGCTGAAGGATGTAATGTATTAGTGTGTGATTTAAAAATGTCACCTGTTTTATCAGAATTAGGCAGTAATTGTGTTTATTGTGAAACAGATGTAAGTTTTGTGTGTGATATGCATACACACAGATATACATACATGTTGATTGTTTAAATAAACCAATGTAATATATAGTATTTCAACTCGTTTTTTAAACTTTTAACAGGGTTTTTTAAAATTTTTTTTGAAAAAAATAAAATAAGAACTACTTTTAATTAAAATCTTCTTTAGCAATCGCTTTTTTTAAAACAATTGCGACGTACATGTCTTGAATAACCTTGTAAATCATCCCTGATTAATTAGTTTACAGAATTTACTATTAGATTTATATATAAAAGATTCATTGGATCCGCTCACCAGAGATCTTCTTACAATGGATTTATAATTTTTGGAAACGCGAATTCGATTGGGTTAAGCATGTAACTATAGAGAGACAAAAACATAACGTTTACTCCCTTTTCATCAAAAAAGTTTTTTGTGATAATTGAGTGCTGAATCCTCGCATTATCAAGTCAGTCAGTCAGATGCAACGTAGAACTTTGTACATAAGTACATCAGTTCATGTTGCCATACCACATCAGCACAGAGATATAATTGTCAATTCAAATCCAATAGTAGTAGAGGTAGTAAGGGTATTAGAAGTAATCGGAGAGGTTAGGATTAGAAGATACTATTCAAGAAGTATGATTCGGTGAGATAAGTTTAGAGAGTCGAAACTAGAGGTGTTGAAGAATCGAGAAGATTAGGATTTAAGAGAACACAAAGAATGAATGCACCGGCGCCATTGCGAACGATTTTGAGCCATGTCATTCAAGGTCTCTAACCATCGATTATTATCATCTCGCGGACCCCAACCAGGTAGTCGACAGTTAATGACATGGCTCAGTCCACTAGTCAATGACTTCATGGATTTCTGCCATGCCATGTTTTGGGTTAAGCATGTAAGTATAGGGAGACAAAAACATAACGTTTACTCCCTTTTCATCAAAAAAGTCTTTTGTGATAATTGAGTGATGAATCCTCGCATTATATATCAAGTATAAAAATACAATTCTTAAAAATTGATTTTTGATTGCATTTTTCAATTAGTTGATCAAAAAACTGAATGAACTTATCTGAATTCACCGAATCAACAAATGTTTTAGCAAAGAGAACTTCATTTTCTGTTATAGCCGATATTAAACTTATATTGGTTCCACGCGTTGATGGAACTAGGGCACTTGCCGGTTTTCCTCTTATAGATCTTCCCAAGGTTCTTCTTAAGTACAAATTAAAAGAAGATTCATCTATATATTAAAACTTTTATAAATGTATCTTCAATGTTCATAAAATTTTGAGCATAAATTTGGCGTTTGTTTTTACTGGATTCCGAATTTATATATTGACCGATGTATATATAAGAAATCTTTTTCAAAGTAATCTGAAGTCTATAACTTATCCTTCTTATATAGATTCAAGAGAAAGGCCTATAGAAAATATGTTTTCTATTTTTTCTCGAATTTCTACCATCGTTATTAACAGGTTTAATTCTATCAATTCTTCAACAAAATTGATAATATCACCGCATATCTTCTTATATATTTGGTGGTTTTCCTGTTTTTTTTTCTTCTCAACTCGCGATTCCTTTTTATATATATACAACCTTATAATATATATTTGTAGCGGCCTGGTATATAGTTTACATCTGTAAGAAATGCCGCATCCTTGACGCTGTATCCATCTTCAATAACTTTTTTTTTATAAGGCTTTTTCTTTTTTCATTCGAAATCCAGTTTGTTTTTTCTATTTATTTCTGACATTTTAAGGATTACAAAAAATTTTAAAAAACCCTGTTAAAAGTTTAAAAAACGAGTTGAAATACTATATATCTCTATGATGATTCCTATTATGTTCATCTCTCTCTCTTTTTTAGGTTGCTTCGGAATCCGATGCAGAAAAAGCTATTGATTTAGCTAAGAAAAATTTCTCAAAACTTCACATTCTAGTGAATTGTGCTGGTATAGCTGTAGCGTCGAAAACATATAATATAAAACGTAAAACACCTCATTCATTAGATTTATTTGAAAAAGTTATCAAGGTTAGTGGTTGTATTTACACAAATGGTTTTTTTTAAATTGTAAAACAAAAAGTATTGGGACAATGAGACATTAGAATATATATACAGATATGCGCCATACAATAAAGATGAGGGTCTCATTGATTAAATGCTTCAATATGTAGTCTAGAACGGGATTTCAGGTGACCAGGAATAACGTTTCGTGAACTCGCATCGTTTGTATTAGCTGTGCAGTGTGATAAAGGAATGTGAGAAGAGTTAGTCGTGGAGATAAGAGAGGTATTAGGGGGGGTGTAGGAAGGATTTGATTTTGACCAATTCGGTCTCGCGTGCTGTTACGGGTATGAGGGCGGTTGCCAGTTCCTGGTTGCCCACACCGTTGAAGGGTGTTTCTTGAGGAACCTGAAAAGGAAGATAGATTAACCTTGGTCTTAACGACCTAGGAGCGTGACCGCAGAACCTAGGGGGCAGCTGTTTAAGGCCGGTCACGCACGGCCTTTTTATGAAGGGTTTTTTGATTATTAGCTCCGCTCTTGAAAGCCCTTAGTGGGCACCCTTACCGACGGAGACGGAAATCCATGAGGTATGGTGAGGTGTGACATTTGTAGGGTCGACCTTTTCTAACCCATTCCTTCGGTCGTGGGCAGCATCGCTGCAAATGCTGGTTGTCCGAGGGAAACACCTTACTGTTGTCACACCCCTCTTCAGTCATTCAGCAGTACGACTTCTCCCTCAGACCTTGGGTAGCTACTTTTAGTCTCATCGTTCTCCAATCGACCTACCTGGCATGGTAGAACCTTCAGGCTAATATGTTTTAGCCAATATAGCTTAGTTGGGTTATCACGATAGGCAAGCCCGACCACCACGTCAAGGTAGCAGCTTCGGTCGGGAAAGATGAGGGTGTGGAAAAACATACAGAAAAACTAAGAGCACAATAAAAAATAAACATTGGCTTATTAGAGTGAAATAATAGTAATCAAAATGGGAGAAACAGTTTCATCGACAAAAGAATTCCTTCATTGAAAGAAGCTCCTCTAGTTTATGTGAAAAAGACAAAATGCTAGTGTCTAACACTTTAATTAAGCGGGTTGATGAGTAGAGAGGATCCAACCTAGGTGAGTTAAAAATAACCCTGATTCTAAACCTATGGTGCATACCAGTTCCAAAATCCTGTCGGAACGAATGGTTTATAAACCTCTTTACGTTGCTCCACTACTTTGTGGATTAAACCTTTGGGTAAAATGTTTCGCTCGCTAACCAAAGGACTAGTTTACTGTGCAGCAGTTCGCTCCGTCCTACTGTACCGATGCGAAACATGGCCGTTAGGAGTGGAAGATGTTCGTAGGTTACTAGTATTCGATCGTCGATGTCTCCGAAGCATTGCTCGTGTATCATGGGACAACCATATAAGCAATGCTGTCGTTCGGAAACGAGTTCTAGATAGGGATGGCAAATCAATAGGTGAAGTAATGAAACTTCATCAGTTGAGGTGGTTGGGACATGTGCTACGAATGCCCAACCACCGACTGCCACGACGAGCTATGTTTTGTGGTATAGGAATAGGTTGGAAGAAAGCTAGGGGCGACCAAACCAAAACATGACAGAAATCCATGAAGTCACTGACAACTGAACTGAGTCATGTTGATAGATGTAAGCTACATGTTTGGGTTCCTCAAGACGATAGTAACCGATGATTTAGAGACCTTGAACGACATGGCTCAAAATCGATTGCAATGGCGCAGGTGACTCCACTCTTTGTATTCTATGTAATTGTAACCGTCAGAATTCCTCATCAGCTCTATCTTCTTCTTTTTAAATTAATTGCACTGAATTATATACTTCTTGAATAATATCTTCAAATCCTAATCTTCTCCATTACTGCAAATACTTCTACTATCTCTATCACTATGTGATTTGAACTGACAGTTGAATCTGTCTGTGTGCTGTTAATGTGTGGTATGATAACCTGAACTTATGCATGCATCTACAAAGTTCTACATTGTAACTGATTGACTCTTATCATAAAATGATACATTGATTTTATCGATTTTTGCATTGATGTTTATTAAAATGTGCTTTTGTATGTTCATTTTATTTCATAGACTAACCTTATCGGTACATTCAATATGATTCGACTTGCATCTGGTTTAATGTTAGCCAATGAACCAGATATTGATAATCAACGTGGTGTTATCATTAACACTGCAAGTATATCAGGCTATGAAGGTCAAATTGGACAAGCTGCTTATTCAGCTAGTAAAGGCGGTATAATTGGTATGACTTTGCCAATTGCTCGTGATCTTTCACGTGAAGGAATTCGATGCGTATCAATTGCTCCAGGTGAGTTAAGTAACAGATATTGGTGTTGTAATTCAGCAATGTTATCTTTGACTAAAGTTTGATTGTTTAATTTTCATCACAAATACTAGAATAGAACAATGAATTTGTCAATTCAAGTAGTTGTTATACACATTCCCAGTAACGTTTAATTTTAATTTTGTTTACCCTACACACAATTCAACCTTATCGAAGCGAGTTCAATACTGAAAAACAAAATGTCCGCGAGACGAAAGTCACCAATGGTTAGAGACCTTGAACGACATGGCTCAAAATTGTTTGCAATGGCGCAGGTGCATCCACTCTGTGTTCTCTGAAATTCTAATCTTCTGAATTCTTCATAATCTCTATTTTTCTCTTTCTAAATTTATCTCACTGAATAAGACTTTTCGAATCATATCTTCACTCTTTACTGCACGTAAACACGTCAACTTGATATGCTTGAACTATTACGAGTTTACCTAGTCGGAAAACGAGAGCGAGGATCCGGCGACACGACATGCTACACAAATCCGATTATCCCAACCCCCATATTGAGTAAAAGAAGAAGACTTAATATGAAGTAGAACTTGTATTCTACAAGCATCCAGAAAGTACGAGGCCCGAGAATCAGGATCCCGGACTAGGGATCCGGGACCGAGTCCTGGTCCTGGTCATAAAACGTTACAGTTAATGCGTATTTATACATTTTGGTCGAATAGGAAACAGCATCGAAGTGTGTGACATTGACAGTTAAGACGACCAATAGGAAGCAATATTTGAAGTGACATTGATAGTCAGGACAACCAATAAGAAACAACATTGGAGCACATGACATTGATATCTAGGACGACCATAAAATTGACCAGTAGGAATTAACCAATAAGAATCGACCAGCAATTCTCTTAGGATACTGGATGAATATCCTAAGCACAACCAATCAGAAAAATGATAACCAAACATAATATCAGAAAAGAGATCAAAAGGGGATACAATCGCAATGAAGATGTAGACAACGACAGACTTAAGGTCAACAACAACTAATCAAGATCGAGATTAACAGAACAAGCTAAGGGTTAAATGTGGAGAAATTCGAAAACTTCACTTCTCTACTTGAAGTTTATGCTGATGATGATGTTGTTGTTGAGATGAAGAACAATGAAAGCTTCACAACCATAAAGCATCCAGCTGAGAGAACGAAACTACACCACAAACTATACTCCTCATTATCTGTTTCTTCCCCCCCCCCCCCATTCTTTATTATCCTCGTTTCTGTGCAAAATTGTCTGTTTTTTAGTGATGTGTAGTTTGTATGTTGTTCTAAAGTTTGACATCTTAAAGCAGAAACTGTGTTATGCGATTCCATTTTGTTTATATATTATCTGTTTTATCGAAGTAGTGTTAAACGGTTTGATAAAAAAAATCTTAACCTTCAAATATCAAGTTACAAGGTCAAAACCTACCAAGTACTACAATGGCTGTAATCAGATAGATGTAGTATTTTTCGTACAGGAAAAGTGTAACTCATTGTGAATTACATGAAATCGCATGTGACTATTGAGTCGTTACCTTAATTGCTCGGTTATATCGTTAAAAACAGTTCATTATATTCAATGCACATACGTGATTAATGAAAGGTTCTAGTTCACCAGTTGTGTGTTGATGAAAAACACACAAGATGAACTTGAAAGCTTTGTTTGACAGATCTACAAATCAGTCAGTCAGATGCAACGTAGAACTTCGTACGTAAGTACATCAGTTCATGTTGCCATACCACATCAGCACAGAGATATAATTTTCAATTCAAATCCAATAGTAGATGAGGTAGTAAAGCTTTTAGAAATAATCAGAGAGGTTAGGATTAGAAGATATTATTTAAGAAGTATAATTCAGTGAGATAAGTTAAGCAAGTCAAAACTAGAGTTGTTGAAGAATCCAGAAGATTAGGATTTGTGAGAACATAAAGAATGAATACACCGGCGCCATTGCAAACGGTTTTGAGCCATGTCATTCAAGGTCTCTAACCATCGATTATTATCATCTCGCGGACCACAACCAGGTAGTCGACAGTTACCGACATGGCTAAGTCTACTTGTCAATGACTTCATGGATTTCTGTCACGTTTTGGTTTGGCCGCCCCTAACTTTCTTCCAACCTATTCCTACACTACAAAGCAAAGCTCGTCGAGGCAGTCGATGGTTAGGCATACGCAGCACATGTCCGAACCACCTCATTACTTCATCTATTGATCTGCCATTTTTACCTAGCACCCGTTTCCTAATAACAGCGTTGCTCACTCGAGTGTCCCACGATATACGAGCAATGCTTCGAAGACACCTATGATCGAAAACCAGTAACCGACGAATATCTTCTACTCTCACTGGCTATGTTTCACAGCCATAAAGTAAGACGGAGCGAACTACTGCGCAGTACACTCGTCCTTTACTCAGCAAACGGATATCTCGCCTACGCCGTAGGTGACGCAGTTAGGCAAAAATAAATCGAGCCTTCTGTATCCGAGCTGAGATTTTGTCAGTCACCAAGCCATCTGCGCTGATGAGACTCCCTAGATAAGTGAAGTGGTCTACACGTTCGACTACTTCAGGTGCCGATGAAACCCAATCTTGAAGCAACATTTTGTATTTCGAGTGGGAAAACCGCATCCCGAACATGGTTGCATTGTTGCTCAGGGTAGTCAGAAGACCTTGCACTTTGTCAGCGTCTTCACCAAGTAGGACTACGTCATCGGCATATTCTAAGTCAATAAGCGAGCCACCTGGTAGAAAGTCTACTCCTGATAAGGTACATACGTACATACAACGTTCTATGTTGTAATTGACTGACTGACTGACTAAAAATTTCACTTATTTTAACCAACATAAATTTGAACATTTTGTTTGACATATATATATCTAGATATATTCACTCTTACTTAATCAATCACTTCATTATTCTTACATCTAACATTGTGTTATGTTTTATTTATCGCACTCAATAGAACACACACGTACACACTCACTTTTATCGTAAACCTTATTAACTTTCACTAGGTCTATTTAATACGAAAACAATATTGGGTGAACGTGAATACACTAAAGATGAAATTGATTATTTGAATGATATCCAACTGACCATAGATCGTATGGGTAAACCAGAAGAATTTACACTGTCTATCATGCACATTCTACAAAATCCAATGATGAATGGTGTTACTTTAAGATTAGATGGTGCTGGGCGACTTATATTTTTATAAGATAATAATAATAATAATATCATACCTACACACCCACGCACACACATGTACTCAACTTGTTAACTTTGTATATCGCGATATGTAATATTCATGTATAGAAAAAAATATACAAGTACCATATGAAAAACACAAGCGCTACTACTCACACAAAAAAAAATCTATCATTATATTATTTTTAAATAATTTTCTTCTTAGGATTATTTGATACTCCATTGTTGGATGGTGTACCAAATGTTGAATTATTGAGAAAACTTACATTATATCCAAATCGTATAGGTAAACCGGAAGAATTTGCAAAACTTGTTGAATCAATCATTTGTAATCCAATGTTAAATGGTACAACTATTCGAATTGATGGAGGTGTTCATTTACCTCCTTAGATTCGATTAGATTAGATTAAATTAAATTAATTTGTGTAATTTTATTTCTGCGTCAATGCATTTACATCAATTTTTAAAAAAAAATTTTCTGAAATTCTTTAGTGTTTTGTTTTGACGTTGACGTATCAATATTATTATTGTTAACAATTTAAACTACTTACAAAATAAAAGTAGTTTGGAATTTTGACCCGCAAAAAAGAGTAGGCAGTGTGACTTTTATGGTAGTGGTGATTGATGAGTGTAAAGTAGTAACGTTAAAAGGGTTGAACTTAGTGACAAGCTTTTTTGTGCATTAATAAGCATGAACATTATTTTCTAAGGGGTCCAGTCAAAGTTAGATTTGAGTGTCCTTTTTTAGTTCACCTATACAATCAGTATTAAAACACAGATAGTAGTAGATGCTTCAAAACTAATCGAATTATTTACGTTGTCCGAACTGTATAGATAGATATGCCTTAGTTAGGCCTTTTACAGAAAATTAGTTTAGTAGTAATACTGTAAGTGTCTTTTTTGTATCATGAAGAGTGATTTATCATTTAATTATTTAAGACGTACATACATTAGCTAAAGTTGTCGTACCACGTTGGCACATACAGAGAGAGATGGAATTGTCAATTCAAAACCCATAGTGATAGAGGTGGTAGGAGTAGTGGAAAAGATTAGGGATCGAAGATACAATTAGAGAAGTATACCCCAGGAATTCAGGTGGAAATTTGAGAGAAGATAATGAAAAAGTGCCTCTACACCATTGCAAACGGTTTGAGCCATATTACTCAAGGTCTGTAACCAACGTCAACCAGGTGGTCTCCTACTAACATGACTCAGCATAGTTGTCAGTTACTTTATGGGTTTATGGCATGTTTCGGTTGGGCCACCTCTCGCCTTCTTCCAGCTTACCCCCCTACATAATAAATCATCGCTTATCGACTCAGTCAGTGGTTAAGTGTGCGTACCAACCGCCTCAAATGATCAAGATATACTACCTTATCAGCTGGTCTGCCATATTTACCTAGTACCCTGTTCCTAACTCAGGAATTTTTACTCGGTTTTCCTAGGATATACGAGCAATGCTTCGAGGAAACTTATGATCGAATACTAGTAACCTGCGAATATCCTCTACTCTTACCAGCAATGTTTAACACCAATATCGTAGGACAGAGCGAACTGCTGTTAGCAGACGGATACTTTGCATACGATATAGGTGATGCAACTACGCAAAAGCCAGTCGAGTTATCTGTATCTTTGCTCTGTTATCGTTAAGTCGAACCGCAACGGGTTTCCTTCCTCTCTTTCCTACATCTAGTAAGCCGCAGACAAATACGTGCTCGTACTAGAACATGATCTGAATTTAAAAAATGTGCTCCAGAATAAGCGTTAATCTTTTTTTGAGCTTCACTGTCAGTGATTTTTGTGACGATGTGGTCTCGTGTTGAGTTGACTTGGCTTTGAGGGTCGCCATGTCGAAAGATGATTTTCCTTATGTTTAGAGTCAGCATTTGCCAGAAATAGGAGGTTATCTGGTTATAGTTGCATCAGGTGATCATCACTATCGATTATTTGAGTCGCAACACTGTAAAACCCATCCTGATATCTTCCTCTTAGTCTACATTACTCAGCATTCAAGTCATCAGTCACTGTTACCACAACTGATTCCCTAACTTTTTGAAGGACATCTGAAAGCTTTACGTAAAATTCATTTTTATCTCGTCTGAGTTAGATTCAGTGGAAGCGTAGGCAGCGACGGGCGTCCTTACTGTCCTGTTTACCCAGACAGCGTATAAGTGAATATCCAATGGGATCCAGTCGAAGAGAGCTGATTCTGCTTAGTGTTATACCTATACCAACGAGGTCATGGGAAGCAGCAGCAGGGCTTCTAGATACGTCAAATGAATGACTCTACTCGGATTCTGTATGTGCCTTTTTGAGATACCGTATGTATTGACTGCACGAGATTATAGAGTCCTTGAGAAGGAAGCCTGTTGTCCTTTTTGGCACAAGGTTCAGTCATTGAGCTCCAACATGTAGTTCGTAACAGGTTTTCAGGATACCAAGAATGTCGTTTCGTGTACCCAAATCGTTTTTCATTGGCGGCACGAGTTAATAAAGAATATGAAAGGGGTTAGTCTTGAAGATACGAGAGTTGTTAAGGGGATATAGAAAAGATTTGATTATGACCAAGTTGATGTCGTGTGATTTTTGGATAGAGGTATAATAGTGGATGTCACTTCCAGACTGCTCATACTATGGGAGGGACGTTTTCTTATGTAAAACTGTGCCTTATCATTATAGATTATCATTTGTGTTAAACACTGAGATACTTCGTTCTAACCTGTATAAGCTAACATAAAGCCTAAATATGGGGCACTTTTTTTTATTGAAATCCTAAAAGTAGGATAAATTCAGTCTACTGGTACTCTGAATGAAATTATCATGAGTAACATGAATAGGTATTGAGCAGCAGTCCACTTATCCGTTGGATATAATTTATCATAACCTACATCCACATAAAACACTAGTTTAGGTATTAAAAAAACGTTGTTGATATGAATAGTTGAAACCAGTTCATGAGTATACCAATTATTATTATGAGTTGTGTTATAAGCAGATCTTTAAGTGGTTAATAACAAGTTGTACCACACAAAAACAGTCTAATTTTGTTAGGATATTCATCAAGTATCCTAAGAGGATTATTTTTGTAAGTCTAATTCTATTGGTCAGTATTATGGTCGTCCTAACTGTCAATGTCACAGACTTCAGTGTCGTTTCCTATTCTACCTAAATGTATAAATACGCATTATCTGTAACGTTTTATAACCAGGATCCTGATTCTTTTCTGGACTCGTACTTTGCGGATGCTTGTAGAATACGTGTTCTACTTCATATCAAGTCTTCTTCTTTTACTCATTGATGGGCAGTTGAAACACTCGGATTAGAGTAGCATGTCGTATCGCCTGATCCTCGTTCCTCGCTCTCGTTTCCGACTAAGTAAACTCGTAATAGTTCAAGTATATCAAGTTGACGTGCTTACGTGCAGGCGTAACACAGCGAACCTCAGGTCTCATAGGAAACCTTCAGCTCTATAGAGCAGTATAGCATATGGTATACATATAGTATGGCAAGAGGTGCAGCCCAGCTTGACACATATAATCTCAAACACTCTCTGTCTCATTTCGGGTAATAATTATTTCGCAATACCGAAATTTTCATTTTTCAACCAGATGAGACCTGAGTTAGGGCTAGTATCCTTAAATATCTTGTTTAATACGACAATAAATATTACATAAACTGAGAAATTAATCAATACTTATCTGTATTATGACAACTAAACGTTACTATAGTTATCCTGATCAAAATAAATTAGAGTAGACTAAAACACAGAGAAAAAAAAGGACAACTAATTCTCTCTCTCTCTGTAATGGTTTTTTATTCAACATGTTTGAATGCAATCATTATTGATTGAATAATCACAGAAAATTGTTCTCAAATTGTTGTACAATGTTGCTGCTGTTGTTGTTAGATTCGAATCTAACAACAACAACAGCTACAATAATAAACAACTAATGAAAAGAAGCAGCGATATTACAAAACATGATAATTTTCTATTGAGAAGTCAGTTAATGTGTAAAATGAAATAAGCTCTGGGTTGATTGTTTCCTGTTTCCTGTTTCACATCACAATTAACACACATCATTGAGGTAGTGATCAGAGAAGAAATAATAAAAGGTTACTGACAAAATATTTGCCAAAATGATCAAAGTACTAATCACAATACACACACACAATAGGCATGAACTGATTAGATCACAATGTGCTGAACAGATTGCAATTAATGTAAAGAAGTGAATTATTTAATTATCTGAGAATTTGAAAATTTGTAGTACGATGCCAGAACAACAACAATAACAGCAATAAAAGCAAATTTAACGATGAACCCATTGAAAAAAAAGTAGAGAAATTTTTTGAAATAACATGATGCGTTGTACAACACAAAAGAGAAATAAAATAAACAAAGATTATAATAATAGTAATAATCCAAGATGTATGTGTACAAGAAATTATGCTCTAGAATTTCTAACTTTTTCTCTTTTTTTTTTACATAATGTAATTTAGAAATGAAAGACTTGATTTCTTTTTTGTGCTCTTGTGAAAATGATTCGATTATTTGATTATTTATAATTGTACAAATCATTATTATTTCGGATGTAATAGAGTGGTAGACAACGAATTCTACTTGCTTGAATTCATTTTCATCAGTATATGGAATGTGTACATACATTTGAAAGCATATATTTGAATATGGCGCTTATTGAATGTGTCATGTTCAATGATCAATAATCAAAATCACATATTGTACAATAGATAAGGAAAGAAAAACTCACAAATTCCCCTTAATTCCGTTTCCGTTTTTTTTTTAACTATCCAGATTGATTATTATTATGATTATCATGAATATGAGTATTATCATTGGTGTGTTGATGATGATTATGATTAGCAAATAATTTCATAGCAATGACAATATTATCATAAGAAGTTAATTCTTTAAACATTTGTGTAAATAATATTGGTTCAGCATTAATTCGTAACATTTCCGATGATTTTTCATTCACTATACGTATAACATATTGCCAAAACCGATTACGTACTTCATCAATAATTTTCGATTTTAAACATTGTTCTACACTAGTTATTGTTGTTGTTGTTGATGTTGTCACAGAATGTGATGATGTATTCGATAAAAATAATTTTTTACTAGTTACATTTGAATGAGCTATCAGCTGATTTGTTTCAGCTATTAAAAATGGTCTTAAAGGATAACTAATTTCATTGCCGATATATGAATAAGCTAAATAAAGACATGCCATAATTAGGGTGTGTAATTCACGTTCCGATTGAATATTATCATTTTGTATAAAAGTTTTTAACATCATATAAAGAAATACAATATGAGTTGGATTAATAAATGCTACTTCTGACCAACCTTGTAATAATAGGGCACGATCTATGGCTCGAATCCATGTAACAATAATTGTTGGTTGAATACCATGTAAATCGGAATGATGTAAATGATTAGCATTTTCTAATAAATTCATTTGTATCCGTGCTACGATAAATATTGATAAACATTTTAATAATTCACTTGTACTTGCTTTAAATATTGGTTGACGAAAGAGATTATAACCATGAGGTGTAGTAGCAGTAGTAGTAGTAGTTGTTGTTGTTGTACTACAGGTAGTATGATTGATCAATTTGCCACTACCTGATTGGTATTGTTGATCTGGTACTAGATCACTTCGTCTCCAATTGGTTTGTAATACAGTGGATGTTTCATCATCATAATATTGATATTGATCATCCTGACTAAGATGTTTCATGTAACGATATCGATCAAGTTTATGATCAATTTTTAAATTCCCTAACATACCATAAAATCCATTTACTTTTGTTGTAGTTTTACGATTATTCAAACATTGAATACACTCAGTGGATTGTGTATTATTAGTTCTAGAATGTTGTAAGTGAAATGCATGTTTTTGATTGTTATTTATTTCATTAGTCGGTTTCATTGTTTCTGTTGTAGTCATACTGGATGTAGTGTTGATCATCATAGAAGACATTGTACTATTTTCATTATCAATATCTCTTCTATCAGTAGAATTTTTCTTGAATTTTTTATCTAGCCGTAGTTTTGCAATTTTCTGTTCAGAAATAATATTGTTTGTACGAAAAAATGATTTTGTCAATGGCGCCGATTCACCAGATGATCGAATTTTATATTTCTGTTGACAATTATTATTGTTTGTGGTATGATGATGATGATGATGTGTGAAAAGTTTTAAAGCATAACATGATATGGATTTTGTAATATTACGACATTTCTCTAATCCGATGAGATTGTTGTTCATTTTACGTTGTGTATGATGAATAGGCGGTGAAGAGGATGATGGATTTATTGGGTCCATATGGAATTCAGTTAAACGTCTATCGAATTGACTAGACAGTGATTCGTCAATCGGATTAGGTTCTTGTGGATAATAATTATGATTATATTGTGTATTTTGATTAGGAATGGTAAACTGTTGTTGTGACAAACAGTTATGTACACAAGATGAATTCATGTATTGAATGTTATTATTATTATTATTATTTACAGAATGTGTAGAATAAGTTGATGGTATCACAGTTGACGAAGTATCATGTTCTTGTTTAGTATCTATAGGCAAATTGGAGTTGAATTGATTTAAATGATTATCACAATACTGATTGTTGACAGGTAAGTGTATATCAAATGAACAACTACGTGTAGCTGGTGAATTAGTCTCATTGATATGTTGACATAATTGATCATTTAAAAATTGTATATTTTGATGATAATCATATTGTGTTGACTGTGGCAGATGGTGATGATGATGTTCTCTTGGATAGGCGTCCTCCTTCTGCACTGAAACTGTTTCATCATGCAATGTTGTAAATTGTTGAGATAATTTTTCTGTTATTGTAGATGTCGGTATATAAAAGTAAGTATTATTAGTTTGTACAATAGAATTATTTTTTATAAATGAATAAGGTGAAAAATTACTTACACAAAGTTGTTCAGTTGACTGTTTATTATTGGAACTTTTAGTTCGTGTAACCTTGCGTAAATCAACAAGACTTGGTGTATATTGTATCGTGTTACCCATAGTTTTATGATTATGATGTAAAGCACAACATTTTCTATTCAACTCTGTAGATAAACAATGTGAATAACGATGTTTTAATCGTGAATTCGGTTCAGATAATTGTCTACGTTGTGCATTACCACTACTACTAGTAGTAGTAGTAGTAGTATCATGATGAATAATAAAATCTTTTTGATAAACTGATGTAAAATCTGTCACTGATTTTTGATCGGATAAATGATATTTCCGATTCATACTATTATTCATTACATTTCTAGTTTGAAAATGACACGAATTCTGTGTCATTCCAAATGGTTCCAATTGTGAAACTCCTCTAGAATGCGATGAATCACATTGTGATGAAGACAAGATGGAATGATTATGATTTCGCCGAATATCATTTGTTAATTTTGTTGAATCTAAAAGATTCGCTTGTTGTTCTTGATAATAAATAATTGGTATTTCAATAGTTGAACGATGTATACCTTTCCTATGATGATGATCATCATCACTAGAACAATCATTCAAAGTATTTTTTCCATCAGATTTCACTGATAATCTATGCATTCGATCATTTGACAATCTACGCATACTTTGAATTATTCCATTACTGGTAGATGATATTTTTGGTTTACGTGATAAACTTGATAATAAGAATCGTTTTAAACTAAACATATTTACAGGATTTAACGTTTTATCTGATTCTATAATACAATGATTCTCAGTAATATATTCATCATAATCTTGTTTCCCTGTTAAAGCTTCATCATTTTGATTTAAATGCCAATTTTTATTAACTGCATCATCACATTGATCATTGTACTCATCATAAATTGATCGATGATGCGGTGTACATGGAATAAAATGTTTCAATTCTTTTGTTCTATTATTATGTATATCACTCAATGTTCGTTTCGGTGGTGTATGATGATGATGATTAGGGAATTGTGGTGAATCATCTGTGGAAAATGTTGAAAGTACACTTCCCATGCTGATTTATGTTTACAGATATCACTGTCATATTATAACCATCCTTGTTATGATTATCGATTTGAAGTTGAACAGTCAACTAGTATAATCCATCTGTCGACACACCTTCATACACAAAGTAATGATTTTTCCAGTCAAAGCACACAAAACACACACCTCAAATTAAACCATATTTTGAGTGTTATCCTATTTCCATTCGTTGTATAATCGATTAATTTCTGAAATATTCAAGGGCTTTCCCATTTGATTAGAAAAAAATTGTACTAATATATAACAATATAACTGGAGATGAAGAATGTTAACTGAGTAGAGTTTTCTATCCTCCAAATCTCTCTATGCATTTATTGGTTCATTTGTCTGTCCCAGTACTAATCTACTCTACCCTACTCTACTCTACTCTACTAACTAACTCACTAACTAACATATATATACATATATACATTTATTCAGCTCTCAAGTTTACCTGTAATCTCAGGGTCTGAGCTTTATAATCAATGAAAATTATGAACAATAAAACTTAAAACAGGGGTTACGCCCACACACAACATTCAACTGATTGGTAGGAATTGCTATTATTTTTCAGATTTTTTTATAAGTCACATGACTACTGCTACTACTGCTACTACTGCTAGCCTTTCCCTAATTCCCTATTTAGCTTGAATTTATTCATTGGCATGTTAGTAGAATGAAACTGAGATCTGTCCCAACTTTCTCTAACTGTATATTATTCTTCTGTCTGCCTATCCATTTCGCTAAATAAAACCTACCTACTTCTATTATGGCATTGATTAGTTATGTAGTTCTCAATCAACTAACTGATGTGCATATATATATGTACTGTGAAATGAGGAAGAGACCTGGAGACTCACTGAAATGTTGTCCTCTTTCGCCTAATGGTATGCGATAGATGATCAAACTGGAAAAAAGTTCTACTCGACTGATCAACTGTTCACTCTTAACAATATACAGTTTCTCCAACTTGGCAGAATCGATCAGCTTTCTTATCTATACGGATAACTGAAATACTATTTATTTTTATTGTTACTCCATGTTTGACTTAACTACAAGTTGTTACTTCTACTTATTCCAGTGTCGATTCATATTTGTTATCGCTGATGAGTCCCATACCAGGACGAAACGGCCGTCCAGTGCTTCCAGGTTTACTAATGGTTGTGGTCTAACAATGATTGATTGATGATTTCAAATGTGTAAAAACAAAAACCTCCCAAAAAACTGCCTGAAAATATCGTAACAATGCTCACTACTGACTAGCTTCGTGAGGAAATTCTCAGAGTTCTAGTTGAGAAGACATGACCAATGGAGTGCAACCCTGTCGGGTGTAGGCAGTAACTACCAAAGACAAATGGGTGAGGTCTCGCAAAATCCTTAGATCAATCAGAGTTAGACATTAACACCGTTCGATGCTGGCCCAGTGGTCCGATTGTTAGGCGTTCGCGCACAATACCGAGTGTCCCGGGTTCGAATCCTGCGAGGTGCAGGAGTTGTGGATGCGCACTGCTGAGGAGTCCCATATCAGGACGAAGCGGCCGTCCAGTGCTTCCAGGTTTCTAATGGTGGTCTAACAATAAGTGATTGATGATTTCAAATGTGTAAAAACACAAACCTCCAAAAGTCTTCCCGAAAATATTGTAAAAGAATCGGTAATTATAAGCAAGATGAATTAACCTACAACTTGTAAAAAACATTGGAAATAGTCAACTGATTTCAAATTATTCTTTAAATTGTCTGGTTTGTTACGAAATCATTCGCCTGTACTACTAGTACAGTAGAAAATTGAAAAATTCCGAATTTTTACACGTTGAAATTGTTACGCATGCACCTAAACACGAGTTTACCTTAGAAAACTAGAGCGAGGATCAGACAACACGACATGCTACTCTAATCCGTGCTACCTAAACCCCCATTGAGTAAAAGAAGAAAACTTGATATGAAGTAGAACTTGTATTCTACAAGCATTCAGAAAGTATGAGGTCCGAGTCCAGAAGAGGATGAGGATCTCGGACTATAGATCCGGGTCGTAAAACGTTACAGATAATGCATATTTATACAGTTAGATCGAATAGGAAACAACATTGAAGTCTATGATATTGACAGTTAGATTGACCAATCGGAATCAACATTGAAGTACGTGACATTGATAGATAGGACGACCATAATATTGACCAGTAGGAATTGACCAATAGAATTAGATTTACAAAAATAATTCTCTTAGGATATTTGATACATATTCTAAAAGAAATAATCAATCAATCAATAATTGTTAGACCAACATTAGAAACCTGAAATCATTGAAAGACGGCTGTTTCGTCCTGGTATGGGACTCATCAACAGTGCGCATCCACGACTCCTTCACCTCTCAAGATTCGAACCCAGGACCTTCGGTCTTGCGTACGAACGCCGTGCCTCTGATTGTCTAACAATGATTGATTGATGATTTCAACTCCACCTGGAGCCCCTCTAGAGCTACTGCCAGTCCCAAGACCAAATATAAAAAGAGAGCTGGGCATGGAGTTGACGACCTCAACTAACTTGTTAAATACAACGTTAACCAGAAAAGTATGTTATTTATCAGTTTGATCAATATTTTGATAGAATTCCATAATAACTAATTCCTAGATAACATAATATTGATTATTATTTCAATAAACAAATCTACTCATCAATTCATTTATAACCTGTTTGATTGACTAAAGAATATAAGTTTAAAAATTTCCAAAATACACATTTTCAAATGACCATTTATGAGAAATCAAAAAAAGCAAACGATATAACTATCGTATTTTAACGATTAAAAGTCGTGATCATAATAGTTTGATGTTCACAGTTATTGAATTCTGACACTCACTGCGCTAGAATCATACTAAACTATCAATTTACTCAATAAAATGCTCCTATTAAAAAAAAAGTCGTTGTCCATGATTTCATGCTGACTGTCTCGAACTTCCCCTATCATTATGATGTGATGAATTTATTATCAGATTTTTTTATGATAACTGAATTCTATTTTGCATTACTTACTTACTTACTTACTTACTTACTTACTTACTTACTTACTTACTTACTTACTTACTTACTTACTTACTTACTTACTTACTTACTTACTTACTTACTTACTTACTTACTTACTTACTTACTTACTTACTTACTTACTTACTTACTTACTTACTTACTTACTTACTTACTTACTTACTTACTTACTTACTTACTTACTTACTTACTTACTTACTTACTTACTTACTTACTTACTTACTTACTTACTTACTTACTTACTTACTTACTTACTTACTTACTTACTTACTTACTTACTTACTTACTTACTTACTTACTTACTTACTTACTTACTTACTTACTTACTTACTTACTTACTTACTTACTTACTTACTTACTTACTTACTTACTTACTTACTTACTTACTTACTTACTTACTTACTTACTTACTTACTTACTTACTTACTTACTTACTTACTTACTTACTTACTTACTTACTTACTTACTTACTTACTTACTTACTTACTTACTTACTTACTTACTTACTTACTTACTTACTTACTTACTTACTTACTTACTTACTTACTTACTTACTTACTTACTTACTTACTTACTTACTTACTTACTTACTTACTTACTTACTTACTTACTTACTTACTTACTTACTTACTTACTTACTTACTTACTTACTTACTTACTTACTTACTTACTTACTTACTTACTTACTTACTTACTTACTTACTTACTTACTTACTTACTTACTTACTTACTTACTTACTTACTTACTTACTTACTTACTTACTTACTTACTTACTTACTTACTTACTTACTTACTTACTTACTTACTTACTTACTTACTTACTTACTTACTTACTTACTTACTTACTTACTTACTTACTTACTTACTTACTTACTTACTTACTTACTTACTTACTTACTTACTTACTTACTTACTTACTTACTTACTTACTTACTTACTTACTTACTTACTTACTTACTTACTTACTTACTTACTTACTTACTTACTTACTTACTTACTTACTTACTTACTTACTTACTTACTTACTTACTTACTTACTTACTTACTTACTTACTTACTTACTTACTTACTTACTTACTTACTTACTTACTTACTTACTTACTTACTTACTTACTTACTTACTTACTTACTTACTTACTTACTTACTTACTTACTTACTTACTTACTTACTTACTTACTTACTTACTTACTTACTTACTTACTTACTTACTTACTTACTTACTTACTTACTTACTTACTTACTTACTTACTTACTTACTTACTTACTTACTTACTTACTTACTTACTTACTTACTTACTTACTTACTTACTTACTTACTTACTTACTTACTTACTTACTTACTTACTTACTTACTTACTTACTTACTTACTTACTTACTTACTTACTTACTTACTTACTTACTTACTTACTTACTTACTTACTTACTTACTTACTTACTTACTTACTTACTTACTTACTTACTTACTTACTTACTTACTTACTTACTTACTTACTTACTTACTTACTTACTTACTTACTTACTTACTTACTTACTTACTTACTTACTTACTTACTTACTTACTTACTTACTTACTTACTTACTTACTTACTTACTTACTTACTTACTTACTTACTTACTTACTTACTTACTTACTTACTTACTTACTTACTTACTTACTTACTTACTTACTTACTTACTTACTTACTTACTTACTTACTTACTTACTTACTTACTTACTTACTTACTTACTTACTTACTTACTTACTTACTTACTTACTTACTTACTTACTTACTTACTTACTTACTTACTTACTTACTTACTTACTTACTTACTTACTTACTTACTTACTTACTTACTTACTTACTTACTTACTTACTTACTTACTTACTTACTTACTTACTTACTTACTTACTTACTTACTTACTTACTTACTTACTTACTTACTTACTTACTTACTTACTTACTTACT